AAAAATTGTATGCTTCTTTTAAATATGTATGTTAAGTTACGTTTAAAAAAAAACCATTCCGATTCTTTGGTAAAAAAACAATACCATTAATATTTTCTTTTAGTCACTGCATTAGTGAATTAAACTCTAATTTATAAACACCTATTACCAAGTGATAGTGTATAAAAATTATTTTAAGAATTTTTTTTAACAAAAAAAAGTAACGAAATAGACATTGGTATCACAACGGACTGGGGTACACAAAGGACTTAATCAGATAATGTAAAAAAGAAACTATAGTTTATATATAAAGGTTTGTACGATTTTAGAGTAATGCATAAACAAAATCCCTTGTAGTGGTGCTCACTTGCAGAATAACAACTTAGATTTCTAAATTGTAGACACCCTTTTTCTTTGACTATAAGCTGGTGAAGGTCCCTTTTAGTACTTGTATATTGCGTGGAATGTTCCCTTGGATGTAATCTATATCATGAGTTGTAATCACAAATAATTTTAAATTGGTTTATCATAAACTACTTTTAATAAAAGCAACGGTAAATATCCACTTTGTTGTCGAAAAATTCTATTGTGTTACCCTAAATTCCATTGCGTTACCATAAGGTAACATACATCATTTGTGGATTACGTGAGTGCCAAAAAAGTTGCCATATATATGTTTTTTTTAATATTCTATCGGTAACGCGACGGACGTAACGCAACAGAAAAAATGTCTGGGACATGAGTCAAATTTAAAAAAAGTATATTAAAATTAATTATTTTATATATAAATTGTTTACTGTATTAACTAAGGATATTAAAAAAAACATGTATGTAAGTTTTATAAAACGCAAATGGGACATTCGAAAATGTGTGTTTCACAAGTTTCAAAATTAAAAAAAAATTATTCTGAAATAACTAAACAAACATTTTCAGAAAGAGTTTACTAAGGGCTTGTTAGGCTTTCACTTGGTTGTTAAATCAATAAGATCCGATAATTTTTAACAAAGTTATTGGAATTCAAACAAACAAGGCGGGTGTTTTTTTTAAACGACCCATATACCTACTACTAAAAGTGGCGAATGCGCCGGGATCAAATTCGAAAAGTTTTTATACGAGTAAGGTTTTTAAAATAACATTTTTTAACGAAATTTTTAGGGTATATCGATGAGAATACGCCAATTTAATGTAAATACTTAAAGTTTTCGTTGCTGGTATACCCTAAACATTTCATCCAAAGAACACTGGGTAAAGCAACAGAGTTATTTTGGCGTGCGACGTGACTTTTTTAACTCCGTTATAACTTTTACAACTTTTATCCGATTTTATTGTAGAAAACAGGGTATAACTAAAATGCCGTCAAGACATCTGTAGTTTTGAAAGCGTTTTTAGAGAGCCATCAACTTCACATTTTTTACGTTGATACAATGTTCTATTCACCTGCAGCTCTATTGTGTTGGAAAACACTATTTACGAAATATTAATATCATCTAAAGCGTCGAGTAAAATGGGTCTAATCTCTGGTTAAATGTTCTTTGTCTCTTAGTCCCTTAATCAACAATTTGGACCCTTTACAAAGTACAAATCAATAGTAATATCGTATAATAATTTGGGCCCTTTACAAAGTACAAATCAATGGTAATATCGTATATCACAGGTTTGTAAATTTTTTTACATACAAATTCTATTCTTAGCCACGAAAATTGCGAATAAAAGTTTGAAAGGTCTTAACTCAGCCCCGATGATCTCTAGGGTGTCATTTTATACATCAACTTTAAATTATGCCCTTTACACTGAAAGAAATATATGTTTGTTTTAGCAAATGTATGTGGTTCATATATGGACTACCACATACATTGCTAAAACAAACATATATTATATTTAGTTTTAACATAATATGTTAAAACTAAATATAAAAATGGTTAAGGTAAATATATTTTATGTTTCATATATAGACTACCACATACATTGCTAAAACAAACATATATTTCTTTCAGTGTACCTTTCTCTGTTCACCCCATCCCCGATCCCTTCCATTTTAAATCTGCATTATTTTTTCAAATTTTTTGTTTAAAATTACAACAGGTTAAGAATATTTTCCCGAAGTTTTGAGTCAATCGGAGTAAAATTTTAGGAGATAGAGCCTTTGAAACCTTCTCTCAGTGGACTTTTTTTCTTTGATCACAACTTATTTTACAAGACATATGCCGCAAGAATAATTTTTAGTTTTCAAAACTTTTAAATTAAATTTTAATAAAATATTGTTCAAATGTTCTTTTATATTTTTAAAAGTTTAAATAAAATAATTCTTTAATTATATTAAAAAAATAAAGAAATGTTTTCGAACAAATAAAATCATATGCTCCAAAAGTTAAATATAAATATCAAATTATTTATATAGAGAAGCAATGGCACGCAAAATTGGCGTTTTACGAAATAATAAATCTGCATGGCACATATAACGTTGGCTGAATTAATGACATATTATATGTCATTCCAACAAGTAGCTTTATGTTTTGAGTCTAGAAAATGATTTATCACAGCTCTACTCTCTGCTGTAAGTTAATTTTGTTTATAAATAGGATTCTGCGTATTATATATACAATTTACAGTGTTTTTTTATCGGTATATATTGGCGCCCAACCTGTAAGGGTTTCCAAAAACCTCAGTAACTTTTTTAATTTCCATGTGATTTTAATAAAATGTTTAGAGTATATCAACACAACTTAGTTGTAATTTCTGTTGGCATACCCTAAAAATATCCTCTTAATCACACTAAAACTATAGATATATTTTTTCAATCATCTTTTATATAAATTTGTATGAAACTTTCAGGGTGTAGGTACTTTTTGATAACGTTTTATAAGTCGTAGCCATAAAATTTATTCAAATTCAACTGTTTTTCTGAACGCTTGTCAAACTCTGTAACTTTTACTATTTTTATCGTATTTATTGGTACACCAACAAAAATACCTTAATTATAATGCAATAATTGCGTAATTTTACTGGTATACCCCGCAAATTTTTTAAAAATAGTTGTTAAATTAATTATTTATGTATTCCCTTACGACTAAAATAAAATAAAATCAATGATAATTTTGTTGTTTGGTCCCGCCAAATCTCTCTCTCCGAGGCACATTTGACTCGTCATTATTACTACTGCAGAGTAGAGACATCGAGAGGTCGGTCGCCATAGAAACGGGGCTTGATACAGCTCACAAGTGGATCTGAACTTGAAGATAAGTTTATTTGCCATAAACGCGCGATACACGTAAACTGACCGAACTAATTTCTACTATAAAACTATTTTGTTGAGAGAGAAATGTTAAATAGGACACTACCTAAGTTCGGAGCTCTTTGATCCAGATGCCTGGATGATACGCTCTCTATATTTTAGTTTAAATTAAGGTACAGAAACAAAAGGTATCAAATTAATATAATTAAATGAAAAAGCCCTAAAAATCCATTAAAAACGTAACCCTATAGGGTTAAAAAAAGTTGGGCGACAAAATATATCTTTTATAGTTTAAGTGTGATTACGAGAACATTTTTAGGGTATACAAAAAAAAACCGAAAATTTTAATAAACTAATATAGGAGTATTTTTGTCTATAGGTATACTATAAAAAGGTTTTTTTTTAATGAAATCAAATGACACTAAAATACTTTAAAATGTAGAAAAATACCAAAAACATTTAAATATTAACACCATGCGTACTTTTTTCAGTACACACTGAAATATTTATAATAATCTTACAAAAGTTGTAAAAGTTACAAAGCATTTAAAAACTTTGACACGTTGGACGCCAAAATGTATAATATCGTAACTTGTTCATGTTTACAAAATACTTCTATACCTTAAAATAATAATAATATTTAACGGATTTTGATAAAATATTCTGGGTAGGTATTAGGGATTGCAATCCGGCAGGATTTTTAATCCAGCTGGGTTTTTGCTGGATCAACATCAATCCAGCTGGATCCAGCGCGGATTCAGCAATAAATTATTTATAAATTTATAAAAAAATTAAATAATTTTTTTTAAAACTTAAAACACTTTTATTATTATTTTTATTTTCATAAAAAAACTAAAATTTGTACCAAATTAAAAAAAAAATAATTCGACAGAAATTAAATTAATTAATTTAATTTGTTGATTTTGATAAGTAAACTTTTTCATTCATATTTTTTTTTAATTAAAATCATTAATTTTACCAATTTTCAAGTTTTGTTAATTTTTAAACTCTCTGTATAATAAGGGTCCCATAAGAAGTCCCATAAGCCAACTGAATGGCTTTTTCGGGTTAGGGGTAGGAACGGACCGCGGGCTTAAAGTCCCCTCCGAAGGACTAATACACAATAGGACAAACACAAATACAAACCTAATAGATAAATAAATAATAAATATTATTTTTACAGGACTGTACAACTTTTATAAAGAAAGATATTGGACTATTTCGTATTAAATTTGTAGACCATTTTAAACCCCACAATATGAATTATATCAACTGCAGTAGATAGAATAATAGTCCATGGACAATTAAATATTTGTAGAACTGATTTCTACTTTAAAAGTTAAAAATAAATAAATGTAAAGATTATAAAATAATTATCTTTATTATTTCTTATAATAATTATATTATAATATAATAATTTTGTGTTTTTTTGTTCACAATGTAGTGTAATGTAATGTTTAAAAATAATTAAAATTAAAATTCAGTCAAATTACTCACAATTCTCACAACAAACAACCCGGGCCACAGCGGTGCCAAGAAGACAACTTATTTAGCATGCAACTTTATCAAGCGAGAGCGAAAAGTGCGGTGTAGAAAGGGGTCCCGCCGAGGATGTTTGGGCGTTAGCGCACCTAGCAAAGCGGCAACGCTGTCAACGTAGACTTTTGTGCCTTTATTTGGAAAGTCAATTATTTTCGGATCCGCAGTGCTGGATGAGGGATCCAGCAATTGCAATCCCTAGTATACCATAGGTAAACTGACAATAAAACTTTGGTTATTATATTTTTAGGGAAGAAAATCCGGTCGTGATGGACCTAGAGCCAGAATGCATCAAAGACAAAGCGAACCGAACGATTTGCGAGGTGGACGCTCGCGAATTCTACCGAACCTACGATGTTATGACCGGCGTGCGGATCGCCTACACCCTCGGAGGTTTTTTTGGACTGATGGTGGTCCTCGTCCTCTACAAATCCAAATCAAAGACTGAAAAAGCCCTCGAAGACCCCGATTTCACAGCTGCCGCGGTCGCGGAGGTAGAGGAAGAGGAGCGGCAGCTCCAGGCCGTCCTCGAGCAGACAGCTTATGAGGAGCTGAATCCTCGAAGGTCTAGGAGGTCCCTAGACACCTCCAGCATGCCGCCAGGATGGATACGGAACTCCAAAAGGTAACCTTCTTATATAACCAGTTAACACTATAACATGAGTGAGAGGTATTGTAATATTGATGTTTTACATAGGTTTTCATCGGTTGGAGGTTATAGTAGCCTCCTAGAGCCTCCTACAAGAATGTCATCGAGGCTTCCTAGTTTTATAGATGAGGATTCTCCACCGGAAGATGATAAATCATTTTATGATGAAGTTTCTTTTAATTATAATAGGTATGCCTTTCTTTAAACCTTCTTACATATTATATTAACGCCTTTTTATGTTTGTTCAGTCATTTGAACGTCCCAAGACGTTCCAGCAACATCACGTGTTCCTCTTCAGGAAGTTCATACCTGGAACGAAGAGATTCAGCTGTTGCTTTAGGTACATTTTCAACACCACACCTTTAAAATGTTAAAATTTAATATTACGTAATTTTGAAGGTCTTCCTGCTCTTCCAGCGCACAAGTCTAAATATTCCAGGCGTCAGTCGTCCCCCGTACCAGAAATATATGATTTTTACTACCCCATAGATATCAGAGTGACCCAACCGACTCCAGGAGGTTCCCCTTGTGGAAGCGATCGGGCTCTATATGATAGAGTATGTACATTTTTAATACCTTCTTTGAACATTTCTATATGATGATATTATTTAGGTCGGTGATCCACCAAACTTGAAGCCGAAGCTGGCCCCGCTAGCTTCGATAAGCAGCTGCAACACCTCGATAGGCATAGATCTACCAGAATTCGACATCCAGTCATTAAATTCAGACTCAGTGTTCAACAACAACGACGAAGACGGAGACACCGACCACGAAATCGACGAGTTCTCCACCGATAGCGATGAAGGCGCTTGCTACTCGAGGGACAAAAAATCCCACTTACCGCACGTGGGATGTAACGTGACGCAAAGATCTTCGTCCAAGAGTTCCCTGACAGTTGTTGAACAAGAGGTCAGTGGTATTCGCTTGAAAACTCTGTATAGCGAAGAGGAAAAAACAATGTGGCCAAAAGAAACTTTGTTTTAAATTTTGCTTACATATTTAAGTCGATCTTGGATTTGTTTAGGAGGTGTGAGGGATGCCAGAAACGTAAATAAATTGTTGGTGTGCCTTTTAGAACGTCTCTCTATCTTTATCTAGATTCTATTAACTTTATTTAGGCCTCTTCAACTAAAAAAGTCTTTTTGTACTACTACTGAAAACTCCTCTATTTAACGCTTAACAAATTAGAGAAACCATAATAATATAAAAAAACATACTTTTTAGTATTCCTATCCGTACACAGAAAAAAAGGTTTGGTTAGCCCAACTATTATTTGTTTCATTTAACTAAATCTGTTGTTTCAATAGAGCCAACCAAACATTTAGTTATTTTAACAACCGCATTTAGTTATATTTAACAACTATATATTTAATTAGAACAATCATTTATGTAGTTAAAGTGACCTTTACCTACCAGTCCAATGTACTAAATACATTTGGTTGAATTGACTCAATATAATGTGTTGATACAACTTACCCATAGCGGTTGGCGGATTTATATACCTAACAATAAAAACAAGATCTTGAAATATTTGGAGTAGAAACATTTTTTTAAGCCATTTTCTTATATTCTTCAAGAAGTTCCTCGAGGCATTACTAGAAAAATACCAGTGGTATTATTCCAGAAAATTGAACCTTAACTCGCTATAGCGAGTTAAGGTTCAATTATCTCTATAGAGATAATGATTTTGCGTTTCACCAACTTAATAAAATACTTCAAGTATTGACAGCTGTTTCGGAAACAGTGTTTCCACCTATTCAAGGTCTATTTAGTATCGAACAACTTGTAGTGTCACACCAAAGCAAAGGACTACCTGAGCTTATGTACTCTTCATGTAAGTTAACAGAGGCGAGATTTAAGAACATCACGTGATCCACACCGCCTTTGCCGCGATCGGTACATACTATGCAACCAGGAAAGCACGGCAAATTGTTTTAATCGTTTTAACCATACGTATGGTTTAGTTTACTAAGTATGTTTTTTGTAAAATAAGAGATACTTCAACCTTAAGCACTTTGTTAAAACGATTAAAACAATTTGCCGTGCATTCCTGGTTGCATAGTATGCACCGATCGCGGCAAAGGCGCTGTGGATCACGTGATTTTCTTAAATCTCGCCTCTGTTGACTTACATGAAGGTAGTCCTTTGCTTTGGTGTGACACTACAAGTTGTACAGCGGTTTGGTTTTACTAAAGTTTTCTGGGTTAATTTAACCAATTTAAAAAAATAAAATAACTATCTGGTTTAGTACCGTCAAACTAATCTTTGTTTATTTTAACCTTCCCACAGTTGATTTAAATAAATATGGGTCAACTAAATTAATATAAATTAAATTAACCATTTCTTTTTTTCTGTGTATTATAAAAAAAATTATTTACGTTTGTTGAGACGTTAAATAAAATTGCCAGGGTGTACTTACGAAAACACGACAATTTCGATTATATCAGTTTAATTTTTGTATTTTTGTCAGAATCCCCTTGAAATTTCATTAAGATCTTAATTACTCGATATTACTCTTCTTGTAAAAGTTGCAAAGCTTTTAAGTAATGGTTTCTCTAAATTTGTCAAACCTCTATTTAACTCATCTTATAGATTATACAGGGTGTTCTTCCTATAATGCATGTCTTATATAAAAAAATTAAGCAAACTTTCTAATTTTTTCTTGTGTGTTTTTAGGTCCCAATAACTTCAAAACTCAGATACTAACCGAGAAAACTTTTTGTACGAATTAAATAATATTAAAAATTGTTATAATATAAAAATCTTTATGTATAACTATTATTCTTTGTTTTTTAAATATACCCAAAAACTACAGGGTACTAAAACTAAAATATTCATTTTCTTGTAGATTTTTTTAACAAAATATTGCCAAGACTCTGTGTGATAGTTGACTCTTTTGCTATATATGTAGAAACATATCATTTTATTTCTTGTTAATAATAAATTGTTTTTAATGAATTATTCTACAAAATAAACAGGCTGTACTATAGTAATCATTGTTTATTGAAATAAAACTAAAAAATAATAAACTAAAAAACAAAGATATTTTATATAGATATATTGTGGTAGATTTAATTAAAAAAGTACCAAAAAATAGACTTTTTTGTAATTAGATTCTTTTTTAATAACGTTATACAGTGTGTATCATAAAAAATGATACACAGTGTGTACAAGGTGTTTTAGAAAATAAATACTAAATGTCTGGCTAAAATATTGTTTTTACTTAGAATACGGGACCATTAAATTCCCAAAAAAACGTTTTTACTTTGTTTTAACTTAACAATTGTTAGACGAATGGCTAAAATTTGTTTGATTGTAAATACATAATTTAAAATTTGAAATTTAGGTCTTAATTTTAATACTTTTGATATAATAAACTCTAAAATTTGTTGATCCATCTGTTAACTTGTCTTTAAATTTCAAAAGGTTTTAAAAGCCTTGTCACTTATTGTGAATACTTATAGAAATGTAAAAAAGGAAATGTATAGAAAAATAATTTTATTAAAGTTTTAATTTTAATGTTATTAAACATCGTTGTGTAAAAATACAATAAATGTAATGATTGTTATAAAAGAAACATATTTTATTTCAACCTATACACTTCTATAACGGTGAGTTTACTCCCAACTATTACGTCCGTCTTTGTTTAGTGTTTTATTTGCATATCGAAGCAAAAACGGACCATGATCATAATTTAAAAGTAACTGTAATTAAATTGTTCATGTTTCCAAATTTGGATACAATGAAAAAATAAATAATATAAAAATCGGTTAGCAAATATAACAAGAATTTTGCAATGAGTTTTAAAATTTAAACGATTTTTAAGATAATGTAATATTTGCAGCATTCTCGTTTCAGATAACATATGGTATTGAAAACTAATTTATTTGTTCCAATATATAATAAAAAAATCAAATAAAATGTCAAACAAACTTAATACAATATAATATTACATTGGCAACAAATATCTGTTTATTTACCTACTTATAAAACAGAATCGACAATAACATTTTATTGAATATTCCCGAAGGTTAAAGATGTAATAAATTAAAAAACATGGCAATATAGAAAAAGTTTTAAATTTTTGCTTCCATAGTTTTATATTTTTGATGTTTTGGTGGTAACGTCTCCAAAAATAAAGAAGTTTGACGAAAAGACAACAAAACTAATCGCTAATTCATTTTAGTGCTTAATTTTCAAGATTTGTTGAGATCTATGCAATAACAAGATTTGTATATACATTTTAATTACTCTACATCAGTGGCGACTGGTGGATTTTTGGGTATACCAATATTTCAGTTATTAGACATGGGACCCACACCAAATTTATAATAGTTTATAATGATATTAAATAGACAATTTCGGCGCAAACAGAATTTAAATTGAAGTTTGCGAAAAAAAGATAGTTTTTCCTGTCGCCTCACCCGCCTTCAGGCCCCCCTATTTAAGATAATTCAAATTAAAGTGGTGCAATTTATTATCTACTATAATCTATCGACAATTTTAAAATTTAATTTAAAAAATCCAAATATTACAGATTTAATTCGATTTTAAATTTTTATTATTTATTTTATTAAAATAAAAAAATATTAAAATGGTATAAAATCTGTAATATTTGGAATTTTTAAATTTGTCGATAAATTATAGTACATAATAAACAAAGAAGTTGTAACAAAAAAACAAAACGAATCGTTTTGAGAAATAACTATGCCGTGTTTGTGCTTGATTTTTAAGATTTTTGGAAATCTATTTAACTTCCAGACTTATTATTTTATACAGGGTGATATTAATTTGTACATCATATTATAACTTATAAATAAAAAAATATGAAAACAGTTAGTTGGATTGACAAAAAATAAGACAACAGTTTTATTTTGTATAAGCTTCAGATAATTAGACATATGTTTATAGAAACTTTCTTGATGTTGATTTTGACTTATATAAATTCATGTTGATTTTAATGTATTCGCAAGTTCTTTGGACCATCTGGATACAGTTTGCAGTTATTTAAGTTACATAACATTTCTCTTATGATTTTAATGAAGCTAGTAGGGTTACACCCTTCAAAACTATGTTAAATTAAAGAGCACATTTTTTTAAGTATAGCCTAAATTTTTAATTTAAATCCACACATTTTAATCGTCTAAATTTTGCATTAATTTCTACATAATATATTATATTGTTATTTCTTTTATTTAAGTACATATATTCTGTTTTTTTGCGTGGGTGCTCTATTTGAAGGTGGGACACTTTATGAGTCAGTTTATATCACAAAACCTTATTAAGAAACTTCATTGCCATTTTCACCTGTAAATGTAGCATATACATTTTATAAAATATGCAATAATTAAAAATGTAGTGAAATTGAAAATATTGAAAATGATGGACAATAGTTTTATTTATTATGTCGTTTTTTTAGTAACTGTGTTACTTCGAACTATTATTATGATATACAATATAAAAACCAAAATATTTAACATAGAAAATATAAAAAGTTTACTTTTTTCAGCTATAATATTATACTATTATAGTAATATTATAATAATATTATATATTGTCTCTTGTAAAAATATGTTAGTGTACAATGTATATGTATATTTATATATTGTACTATTGTAGTATAATATTATAGCAGAAAAAAAGCAAACTTTTTATATTTTCTATGTTAAATATTTTGGTTTTTATATTGTATAGTATAATAAGAGTTCGAAGTAACAAAGGTGTATCTATTATTTCCTAAAAAACGACATAATAAATAAAACTATTGTCAATCATTTTCAATATATGCTCAGAACTATAGTGATTCGTTTTTGTTTTTCTGTCACAACTTCTTTGTTTTAGGAAATAAGAATGCCGTGTTACCACTAAAACTTTGATTTTTAATATTTCATTTAAAAATTTCTTCAGAACGGGTGCCCAAAAAAACAGAATATTTTTTTTCACGTCTCTTGTGAAAATATGTTGGTTTGTCATGTTTTAAGAGCCCTGCCAAAAGATCAGCTCCATTAAAATTTTTTTAGGGGTCGCTCAAGATTTTAAAAGTTTCCAAAATCGTATATTATACATACATACATATACACGGCATTCTTATTTCCAAAAACAAAGAAGTTGTGACAGAAAAACAAAAACTAATCACTAATGCCTTTCTAAACATATATTGCTTTAAGTGATAAATATGCACTGTTTTGGATTTATTTTTAATATTTTTAGAGGTCTATAAAATAAAAAGATTTTATATATAAAATTTTAATTATCCCACATGATTACCATTTATTAAATCATTTTTGAATAGAAAACAAAAAATTCTGAAGAATGAGCCAAACCTCACCCAATCTCAGGAGGGGAGGAGGGTGGTCTCGGCAAATATCACGTAATTTTTTTTTTCCGAAAGAAACAGTGTAAAATTGCGAGAAAACTGGGTTAAATTAAAAATATTTCTCCACTAAAATAGGATTAAATCACACATAATAATATTAATCGCTGTTTAATTATGCACTTATGAACTATTAATAAATTCATTTATTTGGAAACAATTCATTTATTTATTAAATATGAATAACTGTGGAACATCCAAAAGTGCACGACTATGCATTTTAAAAAATCTCACGTGAGATTAAGGGAGGGGGGAGGGGGTCGAGCAAAATCTCACGACATCTCACCAAGGGGAGGGGGGTCGAAAAATCACCAAAATTGCCTCACGTAACTAATGGATGCCCCCTTATCTCTAAAAACAAAGAAGTTGTAACAGAAAAACAAAAACCAATTGACATGCTATGTTTTAAGAGATAATAATTATAGTTATCGGCATATTTGTTTGATTTTTAAGATTTTTTTAGATCTATTTAACTTTAAGATACATAATTTTATGCAGCGTAATATAAACTAAAAAAAATACAATTTGTACTACAAATTGGTTGGTCAACTAAAATAAAATAGTAATAATAATAAAATAAATATAACTTTTTCAAAAATGGCCAATTGTTTCTATAAAATAATAATATTGTTTTTATAAAATAAAGAACAGGTAAAATTAAAGTAAGGAAAAAATATTCATTAAATTGTTTATTATAATCTATATTTTTAACTTTCCAGATCCAAGACTGATTTAAAAAAACCTAATTAAAACTTTCTAGTCCAAATCTTGATATAAACAAAATCTTAATTTAAAATATTATTATGATTATAAAATTTTCTCTTTATCCTATAAGGAAACACATCTATCTAGACATCTAAAACCGTAGCCCACGCTATAAAAAACAATAATTCAACATTCAAAACCTCAAAACCAATCCATATAATCTCACAGCTCACTGCTTTTCTTAAATGGTAACACAAAACAAGTCCGGTTATCCTTACAAAATAAACTCCTGCAACCGCCTGCTACGATAACGTCACGGGTCCTTGCTGCGAGCGATGTTGCCAGATCCACGAAAAATCCCTTTAATCTCTTAAAAATTATGCTCCGCATGGACGCTCGTGCACTTCAACGACTCCAAGCTCCGTATTCACGTATTTGGAAATCTTTAGTCACCTTTTGCTTTGCCCTTAAATCTTCAAAAAAGTTATAAGGTTATAACTGGAAAGTGTACTGCTTTAAATCGCTATTTTTCGTTTTTTTCTATCTGTACAAGTGGCAACAATGTGAGTGGTGGGAATCTTGCAGTAACACGCTTGCTGTGTTTATAGTTTGTGAAATTTCAGTAACGAATAGTAGCCCGGCGCGCTAAATAGTGGTTTTTTATTGGATTTTTAATAGTAATATTGGTTTTTGTTTGTTAAAATTCATTCATTGTAAATGTAAGTATATTGACAATATTTTCTATGTTAAATGCATTTTAGGTTATCTTTGTTTATGAAGTTTTTTACAAATTATTAAAAAGCGTGTTTTTGTTGATATTCCGTTAAAATGTTTAAAGTTCCAAAGCTTTTCAAAACAACGTCATAAAAAGACCGTACTTTTGTTACTATACCCTAAACCTTTTATACAAATCTGAATACTTTAAAGATATAGACGTTTTTCAAAAACCTTACGCTTAAGGTGTCATATTAACAAAAAGTTTACTTTTAAAATCCAAAGCTATTTGGATTTAAAATTTAAGGATATACCCACAAAATAACGCCTTTTATATTAAGATTGTTAGGCAGTAATTAAAACATTTTATTGCATATTTATTAAGTAAAGTCTAAAATAATACAAATCATAAATTTCTTAGAAAATATTATTATGTACTTTGATATTGATTATTAAATAAACATTAATTCTATAAACCAGTGTTAAACTTTACATAACATTAAAATTGCAATTCTTAACTTTTATTGACTTTTTTACTCTTACTTATCATGCATAATCGAAACAATCAGGATATTTTTAGCACAGCTTAAAAGTTCGTGCCAGGCTTATAACTCCACCGCGATTCTCCAAAGGAAGTAATAGATAAAACTATGCAACTTCAAACACTTATTATTCTATACAGGGTAAATCAAATATATAAACCATGTTAAGCCACAAACATTTAGACAATTTGAAGAAATTAATGAATAGATTAGAATTAAAAATCACGAAAAAACAACACCGAATTGTTAATGCATTTTCGATATGCTTCGTTTTTTTAAGAGATAAATATGCCGTTTTTGTGCTTGATTTTCAAGATTTTTTAAGATATATGCGACTTTAAAACTTGTTCTGCTATACAGGCCAATATACAAATATTCCCTTGTAAAAAATATAAAAAAGTAATATTTTAGAGATCCTTCACAATTTTCAATGATATTTAAAAAAACACCCTGTATCTTAAAAAGAAACAATATAAGACACATATTATGTTTACAGGAATTTTTGAATTGTTAAATTGGCACTTTCGTACCAGCCTGTATAAAACCTTGTGTTATTTCCGAAATAAATTATTTTATAATTACACCTAGTGTTCAAATCTCAATGACCTTAGACCAGGAATTGATTTTTTAACCTTATATGTACACACAAAAGTTGAAATGTCAATTGGAATACGTAATAATTTAATAAGTAATATAAGATTTTTTTTCTGTTTGATTTATTTTCATTAGTATGAAGTACCTTGGTTTAAATTTAAACCTTCATACCTATTACGAGGTGTGTTCAGAAAATATCGGGAATTTTCTTTTTGAAACAAATATTTCTTTATTCGTCTACATTAATGTTGTCGCCTTCAAAATAGTCCCCATTGGATATGTTTTGTGGGGCAGCTCTTCTTCCAATACTCGAAACACTTCTAAAACTCGATCTTTGAGATAGCCTTTAGTTCTTTCAGCGATGCGCTTTTAATGTCATCTATGCTTGCAAAACGACGGCACTTTAAGGTTCTCTTTATTTTTGGGAATAGGAAAAAGTCAGACAGAGGCATGTCTGGCGAATATGGAGGCTGGGGCATCATTACAGTATTGTTTTTGGCCAAAAATTTTGTTCAAAATTTAACAATTTTGGAACAAATTTTGCTGCCACGCGTTTCATACCCAAAACCTTTGAAAAAATTTCATGGGATGAGCCAATCGATATACCAACATCATCAGAGACTTCTCTGATGGTTTATAACCATTTCTTCCACTTTTTCCATGTTTTTATCGGTTGTTAATGTGCTTGTGCGTTCGGGGCCATCTTGGAAACTCTTATACCACTTGTAAACTCTTGTTTTACTTATAGCAGACTCACTATAGGCCTTTGTTAACATTTCACAGAATTTATTTAATTTTTTACGCAAAATTGGAAACGAATTCTCTTTGATCCATTTCTTTTAAGGAACGAAAATCGCCGAGCTCATATATAAAACACGTCTAACCTTAGCGGCTGCCACAGACAAAGTAAACAATGAAAACAGCTAAAGTTTTCATCATACTTCGGGGGCATGTATACCAACATAATAAATAAAATTTTATGACAACCGGACCCTCCGAAGCCGCGAAATTTAACAATTCCCGTTATTTTCTGAACACACCTCGTATGTGTGTTATTTTTGTATGAATAAAATAAATATGTTATGGTTTACACACATTGTTAGTTTTAAGGTGTGTTTTTTTAATTACAACAATTGTTCTATCTAATAATAGTTTAAACTATATTTAATAGGGGATAATCAAAAGCAATTATAAATTATATAACGCCTGTAACTATTAATCTTTATCTATATTGTGGAATTAAGACTTCTATATAATTCGTTTAACACTCATTTACGCTCCTGCACATAAGAACGTACAAATCAGAAATAACAAATTTTTTATATATTTACTAACATATTTTTAAATTTAAAATCAAAAACCATGGTTAAACGGCATCCTGACGGTGTTACAGAAAAACAATATCGCATTAAGAGATATTTCTTGTAACAACTCATTTTAAAGGATTTTTAAAGATATATATTACAACATATTTATATACAAAAAAATAAGCTTTATTTATAAATGTTTTAGCTCTTTAGATATCCACAAGTATTCTTCTTATTACTGAAACAATTAAGTAAAGTTACTACATAAATATTTTTTTGATCCGATATGTAGTATTTTTGCAGTTCTATGTTACAAGTTAAGTTTTTATTTATTATATCATATATTTAACAACAATTCTTGCTTTCAAATATTTAGTTAATTTAAGCAAATATTTCTTAAATTCTTTCGCAATATTTATGTTTTTTACTGCTTGACAAATTTCAATGATATCATCATCGTTTATTGGTTTATTGCGTACCTATATAACTGGTTTATAGCTAGTTTTTTCTATTAATAACATTTTTTTAGAATACAAAAATTATGGGCGGTATTACTCAAAGACCATGGACACCAACTAAAAGAAGGGGCCCCATTGCAGCTGAATACAACAGCCCCGGCCCTGCATGTGTAAACCTACCATCTTATATGGGTAATTTTTTATTATTTTGTATGTAACTTAATTTTAATTCGCGTGTGCAACGATGTGGGTTTGCAAAATCTCGAAGTTGAAAAAACAAGCAGCCGTTAAATAATACAGTTCCAGCGGCCCACAAGGTCCGCCGTCCGCATTTGGAAGTCGTTACTTTCAGCTAGATTTCACTTGTCACTTACTTAAGGTCGCACCACCTGGCTTTAAATAACGCACACAAGTACATTTCAATGTTAAATAATAATTTGTACGACTTTAATTGAAGGCAAAAACACCGTGGAAGCCAAAAATGGCAGAGCCCCGGCTTTCAGTTTCGGAGCCAGGCACGGAGGTAGACAAGAAACCCTGGGACCCGGCCCTGGACAATACAACGTCACCGGACTTAGTGCTAAGGGTACATTTTTTAATAAAAAATTAAAAACCATGAAGTTTGAGTGGTAACACGATATACTTATCTCAAATTTTTTTTACAAAAACGAATGGATAAGGCACTTTTGAGGATATCTTCGTTGATTTGAGAGATGAATATGCCGTGTAACAACTTGTTTTATAGATTTTTTTAAGATCTACGTAATGCAAATATTTATATACAAGAAAATACTTTTTCTAGTTATAACTCTACATGACTAGCGTACATTTATCAGTTTTAAAATACACTCACAGGCAAAATAATCGATCCACACAAATTTTCGATGAATTTCAATCGCAAATAACTTTTTTATTTGATGTCGGATTGAAACAAATATTAAAGAATATTGTAGATAAATTAATGGACAATCGCTCACATTTTAAAAAATTACTAAAAAATAGACGTACGTTTATAATATACATATAACCTGCAGGTTTAAACAAAAATATGTTTTTTACCATAAGTTTAAGACACTCTGTAGAGTGGCAAAACTAAATTAAGTTTTATTTATCAAGTCACGACTATTCTTAACAGTTTTGTTTTTGGTTCACCTCGATATATTTATTTTTGTGAAAAATATGGATTGTTAAAAAAAACATTGCAATTTCAAATATTTTTCTGTATGAAGAACTAAGGTTGCTATGGTCCATCCATAGGCTATGGAGAATGACAGTGAAAGTTTTGTTGAATCATCCCATACTTGAACATGTCAATGACATGATGTCATACACAGCTTTCAAAAGCTATCAAATTGTTTTTTGTAAATTAATGTGTTAATTTTGAGGCGTCTTCTTACTTTAAAAAATGGATATGTCTCCGAATGATGTTACCAGAGCCATTAATTTAATCCAGGATGAACGGTCACAGTATTACGTGGCAAGTGTTTTAAACGTCACAAGAAGTAAAGTACAAAGGGGAACATCAGTCGGAGACATTTTTAAAAGTATGAAGACACCTCAAAATTAACACATTAATTTACAAAAAACAATTTGATAGCTTTTGAAAGCTGTATATGACATGTCCAAGTATGGGATGATTCAACAAAACTGTCACTGTCATCCTCCATAGGCCATGGATGGACCATAGCAACCTTAGTTCTTCATACAGGAAAAATATTGGTGTTTTTTGAACCAAAAATAAAACTGTTAAAAATAGATGTGACTTAATATTTAAAACTTAATTTAGAACAATATACGGTTTTGCCACTCTACAGAGTGTCTTAAACTTATGGTAAAAAACATCTTTTTATTTAAACCTGTATATTATAAACGTACGTGTATTTTTTAGTAATTTTTAAAATGTGAGCGATTCTCCAATATATATAAATTTGTGTGGATCGATTATTTTGCCTGTGAGTGTATAAAATTAAAAACCATAAAGTTTGAGTGGCTACACGGCATATTTATCTTTAAACTTAACAAAATTGTAACAGAAAAACAAAATTAAATTGTTTCGTTATTTAAGTAGATAAATATGCCGAGTAACCACTCAAACTTCAGAATTTTACCAAGCTCATTACGAATCTGTAAATATTTATTAGGTAAAGACACTCCTTTGGCTGTAAGCTTACATGGTCGCCCAAAATCACCAAAAGCGGAAAACTTCCCTGCTCCTGGGGATTATAACCCTGATAAAGCTGAAAAAGTAATTCATGATAATTCGCCAAAATACACATTTGGCTTAAAAACTAACCTCGAAAAGCCTTTAGATACACCGGGTGAGAATTTTGTTGATTTTATATAAATTATTAATAATTTAATAATGTATTAATGTGGTGATTTTTATTAATAATGGTTGTAGTTGTAATAATAATAATAATAATTCTCTAACAGCTCCTAACGCTTATAGCCCATTCCAAAGGTCCTCCAGTAAAAGGTATTCGTTTGGTATAAGAACAAGTATTAGAAAACACAATGATACACCTGGTTAGTTTTATTTTGCTTTATTATTTAATGCTTTTTACTATACTATATTTTTAATACTATAGAAAATTATGCAATTATATTTTAGTAGTTATTAATTTTTAGCACCAAATTTTTACAATATACCAAAATCCGATAAAGTATTACATGAAAAATCGCCTCAATACAGTTTTGGTTTAAAAACACAAGTAGAAAAACCTTCAGAAACACCTGGTAATTAATTTTTTTATACACCTACAATTTCTCAATTTTTTCTGCTGTCTTCTTACTTATATAATTTTCTATGTATTTCAGCTCCAAACGTATATAACATCCCAAGCACTGAAAAACTCTTGCACGAAAACTCTCCCAAATATTCTTTTGGAGTGAAAGTTAATCTAGAAAAATTTCCTGAAACACCTGGTTAGTTTTTTGAATTTTTTTTATGTTATTTTTCACCGAAAAAATCAAGTTAACGCTATAACAATAAAACTACTAAATATTAAGTACTAAAATGGCTTAATTTTTTAAACTATTATTTCTTATTGTAGCGCCTAATGTATATGACACTTCAATACATGATAATTCGCCAAGATATAGTTTTGGCGTTAAGGTTGAACCAGAAAAACCTTTCCAAACACCTGGTTAGTCTCTTATTTTCTAATACTCAAAATAAAAAGACTTCTACAAACATTATCAGTTTTTGTAATTTTTAGGGTATCTTTCGAGTGGTGTAAACTAAAAAGTCGTATTTATATCGGTATACCCTAAAAAGTCCTTTTAATTTAACGTCTCCAAAATTAACTTTAAAAATGTCTTTTTTGTTGGGTAGTAGAACTCTTTTACATTAATGTTATAATTTTAGCACCGAATGCTTATAAAAGCGATTTACCCGAATCAGCACCTAGATATAGCTTTGGCGTTAAAGTTGAACCAGAAAAACCATTCCAAACACCTGGTTAGTCTTTATTTTTATCAATACTTCACTTTAATACAACTTGTCAATCATGTATTTTTGCATTTTGAGTAGTTATAATTTTTAATATTAGTGTTATAATTTTAGCACCGAATGCATACAATAGCGATTTGCCAGATTCAGCACCTAGATATAGCTTTGGCGTTAAAGTTGAACCAGAAAAACCTTTTCAAACACCTGGTTAGTCTCTAATTTTCTATCAACAATACTCGAAATAAAAAAGCACATCTTCCAAACTTTCTGACTTCTACTAAAATTTGTATTTTTATAAAATTTTCAGGGTATATTAAAACAAACACGCTCTTTTGACTGGTGTAAACCAAAAAGTGGTATTTTTTCGGTATACCCTGAAATAATCACTTTAATACATTTTTTTTTAATAACTTTAAGAATTTGTTTTTTTGTTTTGTGTACTTTGGAACTCTATTACAATAATGATATAATTTTAGCACCGAATGCTTATAAGGGCGATTTACCTGATTCAGCACCTAGATATAGCTTTGGCGTTAAAGTTGAACCAGAAAAACAATTCCAAACACCTGGTTAGTCTAATTTCCTATCAAAACTATTCGATTTAAAGCTTTATAACTTCAACAAAATTTTTTGGATTTTTATTAAATTTTCATGTTGTACCATTAAAAGTAAATCGTATTTTTGTTGGAATACCCCGAAAATGATACTTTTAAGTAATTTCGTTAAAATTAACATTAAAAATGTCTTTTTTCGTTTTGGGTAGTTATAACATATACATATGTGGGTATACCCTGAAATAATCACTTGTTTTGTGTACTTTGGAACTCTATTACAGTAATGTTATAATTTTAGCACCGAATGCTTATAATGGTGATTTACCTGATTCAGCACCTAGATATAGCTTTGGCGTAAAAGTTGAACCAGAAAAATCATTCCAAACCCCCGGTTAGTCTCTAATTTTCTATCAAAAATACTTCGAGTTAAAAGAAATTTTTTTAAAACTTAATAACTTAATATTTATATTTTTATGAAATTTTTAGGATATAATAAAAAAGTACGTCTTTTAAATGGTGTAAACTTAAAAGGCGTATTTTGTCGATATACCCTAAAAAAGTCACTAATACAACTGTCAAAATTAACTTTAAAAATCTCTTTTTTCGTTTCGGGTACTTAGAACTCTTTCATAGTCATGTTATTATTTTAGCACCGAATGCATACAATAGCGAATTGCCAGATTCAGCACCTAGATATAGCTTTGGCGTTAAAGTAGAACCAGAAAAACCTTTCCAAACCCCTGGTTAGTCTCTAATTTTCTAACAATACTCGAAATAAAAAAAAACACATCTTCAAAACTTTCTTCTTCTCTTTTGACTAGTGTAAACCAAAAAGTGGTAATTTTTTCGGTATACCCTAGAAAAAGCACTTTAATACAACTTTTTTTAAATTAACTTTTAAAATGTGTTTCTTTATTTTGGGTAATTAAAACTCTATTACAGTAATATTATAATTTTAGCACCGAATGCTTATAACGGCGATTTACCTGATTCAGCACCTAGATATAGCTTTGGCGTTAAAGTTGAACCAGAAAAACCTTTCCAAACACCTGGTTAGTCTCTAATTTTCTACCAATAATACTGGAAATAAAAAAGCACATCTTCCAAACTTTCTGACTTCTACAAAAATTTGTATTTTTATAAAATTTTCAGGGTATATTAAAACAAACACGCTCTTTTGACTGGTGTAAACCAAAAAGTGGTATTTTTTTCGGTATACCCTGAAAAAGTCACTTTAATACAACTTTTTAAAAAATAACTTTAAAAATGTGTTTCTTTGTTTTGGGTTCTTGAAACTCAATTACAGTAATGTTATAATTTTAGCACCGAATGCTTATAACAGCGATTTACCTGATTCAGCACCTAGATATAGCTTTGGCGTTAAAGTTGAACCAGAAAAACCATTCCAAACACCTGGTTAGTGTAATTTTTTATAAAAACTATTTGACCTAAAGAGACTTTTTTAAAGCTTTATAACATTAACAAAAATATTTGGATTTTTATTAAATTTTCAGGTTCTACCAATAAAAGTATGGTCTTTAAAATATTGTAATCTGGTATACCCCGAAAATGACACATAATGTGTTCACACATTTACGTAATTTCAGCAAAATTAACATTAAAAATGTCGTTTTGGGTAGTTATAACTATATAACTATGTAAATATATATATATATATTACAGTACATGTCATAATTTTAGCACCGTTGCTTAAAACGGTATAGCTTTGGCATAAAAGTTGAACCAGGAAAACTATTTTAAACACTTAATTAGTTTCTTATATCAAAAATATCCGAAATAAACTTTTTAAAGCTTAATAACTTTAACACAAATATTTGGATTTTTATAAAATTCTTAAAATAATGTAAACGAGAAATTCGTATTTTTGTCGATATAGCTATATATACCTAGGTACCTTAAAAATGACGTAATTTCGGCAAAATTTACATTGAAAAAGTCTTTTTTCGTTTTGGGTAGTTGGAACTCTATAACAGTATTATTATAATTTTAGCACCGAATGTTTATAACACCGATATACCTGATTCAGCACCTAGATATAGCTTTGGTGTTAAAGTTGAAGGGGAGAAACCGTTTGAAACACCTGGTTAGTCTTTTAAAAAATAATTATGAATTAAATTTTGTAATTTTTGCACTAACATTTCTTATTGCACTTATAGCACCTAACGTGTACAATGTACAGAAGTCGGACATTTTATTGCATGATCATTCTCCTCAATACTCTTTTGGAAACAAATGTCAGGTAGAGAAACCTATGGATACACCTGGTAGGTTACATCTTAAAAAACATTTTAAAAATTAAAAGTCTGTACATACGGTTATTAAAACTGTTATATTTCAGGCCCAAATGTTTACCAGATTCCCTCCGTGGTTTGTGCTCCAGCCTATACAATTTCCGGCAGAAATAAGGAACCCATAGACGAAAGGGTTAAAAATCCTGGCCCAGGACAATATAACAATGTGGATCCCGAGAGTTACAAAGCTGAACATTCTCCTGCTTATACAATCAGTGGTAGAACCAACATACCTAGGGATGATAGTATCCCCGGCCCAGGAATATATTCACCAGAAAAGGTATAAAAAATATAATGTACATTAAAAACATCAAATAAATAACTGTATAGGTGGAGTCACATTTGAATCAAGCTCCTAAACATTCTTTTGGAATCAAACATTCAGCCTACTTGGGTAGTCATCATAAGTTTTTACGAAAAGATAGAACCTACATTTTGTTTTAAATAAAGGTGACTTACTATAGCACAATTCTATATTCAATATACGTAGGGTATCATCTTGGTCGAAACAGTCGATTTCTGTAGATGGTATTCAAGTTGCAGTTCCCAAACCGTATTGCCAGATTTTGGCAAGACATTGACTGATTTGTCTATTATGAGACACCCTGTATAAATTACACCTTAGGATTATATCACAAAACTGTAAAAAATTGCAAATGATCGTTCGTTTTATTAAAAAACTGAATAAAATTTTATTTAATTTTATTTAAAATACTATAGTATACTTATATATAAAGATAGCGCACATTTTTCTGTATGTACCCTAAAAATTTCATTAAAACACTTTGATTTTTGTGGAAGCTACAAAGCTTTTTAAAAATGTAAACATTAAAGCTCTGTAACTTATACAAATTTATATTGTAATGAAATGTTAAGGGCACACTGATTAAAATACGCACTGTTTGGTGTTGTAAGCCACAATCCACCATGTGTGCACTTCAAAAGCATTTTCGCACATAATTTTATATTTTATATTTACCAAAAAACTTTTTAATTCTTAATAGAGCACATTTTTGTTTATATACCCTAAAAAAGTAGTCATGTATATTAGAATTTTTTGGGTATACATACCAATTAAATTCGCAAAATTTGTTGTTCTTAACCACAATCCACGTTTAGTACAGTAAAAAAACATTTTCGCACTTTATTTGTACTTACAAAAATGGCGAATGCGCCACTAATTAATTTACAAAAAAGTCATAACTTAAAAAAAAATATTTGCATAAAACTTTTTTGATTTATGAAATGGCACTTTTTTGTTTATATCGCCTAAAATATTTTATTCAATATTTTTATTTTTTTAGAAGTTACAGAGTTTTTAATACATGGTTATTTATGTACCAAGTCAAAAAAGGGATTCTTTATCGAACGAATCTGAGATTATAAGCAGAGCGAGCGACGCTAGCGAGGCGAGTAACAGACACTTTACCGACGTGGTGCATACCAAATTTTATCGCCAAGCGTAAAATATTAAAAAAAATTATATTATTATATTATATTATAAATTGTATAATACTATGTTGCCATGAATTCGTAGGTAAATTTTGTCGTTTAAAATGCAGTTGTCGGAGTTCTTTAGGAGGGCTTAAATATAAAAATATTCCATTTATATATATATATATTTTATTAGATTTCTTAAAAATGTCCCAACTTAAATTTATTATATATGAGGTAAAGTTATATTAGTTAATTCTGAACCAAAAAATATACGTACTAAATTGGATCCTTTGGTAAAACATGAAAATGCAACGATTTAGTTCTTGAATTTTATTTACAATTAAAAAAACAATAATTTACCATGATCACTTAGATAAAATACATACACTAACGTAACTATATAAGAATATAAGCGTTGAGTTTCTTAATCAATGATATTAGGAATATTATACGAAATCGAGTATTAAACCAAAGTTTTTTAGTTTTTTCCTGCAACGCGAAACACAAATAAAGTGCGCGATTTAGCTGTGCAATTGAACAAAATTTGTCGACTAAGACTTCTGCCTTCCTTTCTTTTTTGAAAAAACTACTTATTGCAGTGCAGTTCGTATGCTTTAAATGTATTGTTGACAAATCTTGAATTCACACAATTCTATCGAACACCGAGTTGCGAAGACCCGATGCTTCTTTAGCGTATAACTATTTACATTTTATTATGACAAAGCGAATACAAAACAAAACTACTAATTTTTGTTTGTTATTTTGAAGGTGAAAGTACACCCTGGCGCATTATACAAATTTTTTCCCAATATCGAAGAACTTTGAATCGAAAATGTTTGAAGATCTTTGATAATTTGTAGATCTTCAGCAGAATTATCATTAGTAGCACTTATGTTGTCAGTTTGACAGTAACTTAAAATTGTTTGTGCGATTTTTGTTTTACTGAACACAGATTCCTCAACATACTTTCTTAAAATAAATTAGTCCAAAAATTAAAAATTAGATAATTATTATCATAGCCATAATTCTCGTCAACAGCAATTTGTACCCCGGACATTTAGCAGTCAATTCCTATGTAAAATTGTCAGCTGAATCCGAAAATGTCCTTAAAAGTTATAAAAGTGGAACAGTTTTTAAGATATAGTCAATTTTCTGCAATCGTGTCGCTTTGCCACCATCGTGGAGTTACTGCCGCCTACTTTGCCAAAAAGAGTAGCGGACGTTCGACGAAAACAGTGTCCCGTATAAAGTGATGGTTCTGGTAATTTCAGATAGTTCTATGATTCTATGGATTTTACTTTTCCTTCAAATTTTGAAGTGATCACAAATAAACAAGGCCTGTTGGTCTTTCTTTTATTTATATGAACAACTAGAATTGTTTCTTTGTACTCTATAGTTCTATAGTATAAATACTGACTACATTCATATCAAATTGGCTTTTAAAAGTTGGCATAAACTACCTTTATCATTAAGTAGCTTCCACATTTTCACTAGATGCACCAGCATCTAGTGAACGTGTACATAAGTACCTATTTATTCTAGTAAAAGTCTTTTTGGAATATGATTTCTTCCTTTTTGTTTAAAGTCCACGTCATTTTTTGCTGAAAGGGTTGCTTTCATCATAAAATAATAAGACCACATCGAAGAAATCAGAAAAATACGCCACAAAAAGGTTTTCACTATATTTTGTAATTCCGTGTTTTTTGCACCAGTCCAAGAATATGTCATACTGGCGATTGTAGTTTTTGGCTGATTATAATATATTGTGGTAGAATTTCGAAAGACGTCTCTAACGATTTCAGAATTTTAGGCGGCGTGCACTAAATGTCTTCTTTCATTATTTTCGGTAAATAATTCTGGAGAAAACTTTTACTGTTGCAGTCGTAACAGCGACAAACGATTTTTATTATTTAATATAATACATTTATAGCAATTTTGATAAATTAGCGGCAGGTAAAGTATTTGATTTTTACAGTAAAATAAAGTGTTTTTACCTCCGACAATCGCTGTGGTAATGCATGGCTTTATTGACAGTTAGCGATAAAAATATATAAACATCGAACTTCTACAAAAATAGTTATATTTTATAAAATTTTAACGGTATAATATTAAAAACATGTAATTTCAATATTCTTACTTTTTTTGTATAGGTTTGCATAGATTATCCACCAGCCCACAGCTTCGGCATCAAACATTCTCCCTTCTCAGATCACTATTAGAAAAAATGGCGAAAAAAAAAACGATACGATACGACTGTGTTTTTTAAATAACAATCTTGCCATTTCATTTTAAAACACAGAATATCTTACATCCATCATAGCACATATGGAACTGTATGTGACGTATTTATTTTTTATATTACTTATCATTATTAAGAATAAACTTTGCTTTTTTGTAATGTTATGAAGCTTCAAATTTTAATAAAAATGTTATTAATTGCTTAGCTTGTTAACTTTTGTATGCTGTTCCTTGTCACATATGTTTAACTTTATACTTTTTTAGTAAATAAATACACAAAATTATAAAAGTTGTTTAATTTTACATTATAATGATATACATTAGGGTGGTCCTTAGCTATAGAGGTAAAAGATATACTTTTAATATTGAATTGTCCCACCCCCCCATTTTGTTATAACACAAGAGAAAAAAAATTACACAAAAATTTGAATGGCCAACTCGACCCCTTCACGTGCCTGTGAGAGGTTGAATTTTGACAAAATCCCCAATTTTTAAGGTTTTTGCCATTTACTCCGCAAAAATCGCCTATCTCAAAAAATTTTACTCATTAAAATCTTTTCGACTATTAAAGGTCTATAAAAATTATCTCTTGAGATTTTATCCTAGAAAGCACCATTTCGTGGAAAATTGCATTTGTGCATATATGCATATATAATTACCACAAATTTAAGGTTTCAGTAAGGGGCTGTACTTAAATTATGTAACGTTTTTAAAACGACATTTTTACCCCTCCCCCCTATGTAACAGATCGTAACAAATTATTGAACCCCCCCCCCCGCCCTATATTGTACGTATTTTTTTTTATTCTAAGGAATTTTATTTGATCACCAAAAAAAGTTTTATTTATTTTGATAAATTACGTACAAGCATAAGGACCCCCTCCCCCGTACCATAACAAATAATAACAATTTGATAGTACCCCTCCCCCCTTAATTTGTTACTTAATTTAAGTACGGCCCCTAACGTGTTTTTAAAAAATATCTTAGTAATCGATAAATTTAGCACAAAATCCATTTTAGACCAATTTAAGGACTTAAAAGGTTTAGAATTTTACGAAAAATTGTTTATTACTGGAAAATTACAATAATACACGAAATTCTAATATAATATAATATCCTAATTACTATACAGACTATTTTATAATAATGAGTATTTGTTTGCCGTAGGATATTTCTTTCGATATTCCTTTACAATTTGTAAAAGATATTGCCTTTGACTCTCGCTTTTAGTAATTAAGTTATTATAATCCTCGATTAGCTTTACGGATCTCTCAGCAATATCATTTACTACCAATATTTTTTTAAGCATTTCTTGAGCAGTTACAAAATCGGTGTTTTTCTTCCATTCCCTTGGATCTTCGTTAAGGAACATTGTTGAAATTTCAAAACGTTTAAAGAATTTAACTGTATTTTTATTGACGAAAAAACTGAAATCCTGAGATTTCAATATCGTTCCCGCGTTATGTGGTTTGATTACCGTACACCGCTTTACACTTTCTTCCTCGTCATTTTCAACTATCGGAATCCCATCGATGACCTAAGATTTTATATTGAAAACAAAATAATTAAACAAAAAATATAAATAACTATTCGAGTTAGGTACCTTTTTTGCCATCTGAGCCTAAACTTCCCAATCCACATCATCGTCAAAAAATCCAAATGCAACAGTTTCGTCAGCAAGGTACCATAAATAATTACAAAATTTTTGGAGAACAATTTTTGAAATTAGCCTATCTGGATAGTCAATGATTTGTTTCAAGAAAATCAGATCTTGATTGGGAGACTTCAGAGCTTCTGGTGCTTGGAACCAAGCTCGAATGTACACTCTGATAAGAAATATATTTACATCTCTCAATCCGTTTTCATCTTTTTTGTTTAATTTTAATTATTTTCTTAACAAATACATTTTAAGTGAGTAAATAGCTTTTGCCATCCATCTTGCGTGATGAATTGCTCCCGGTTGCCTTAAGGTAATTCCATGAGTGGGACTTGCCCCCAAAAATATAATCGATAACTCTAATAACTCTTTGTAATCGTCTCTGATTATTTTGGTTTTATTTTCCAACAGACCATTACAAAAACTTATGATATCATCTTTTATACCCTCTAAGTTGGACTACATCATCCTCAATACCAGGACTATATTTGGATATGTCAATATCTCTCCATTTAGTCTGCAACATTTTGAAAAGAGCGACGTCGGGCCCAGAATATGGCTGTGTGAATTTTAAATTAAAAACGCTTCTAAGTATTATTTCAAAAATATGATGACGACATGGAAGGTATAGTATGTCTCGCTCTAAAAGTTGTTCCAGGAGAATGCAGGCACCATTTCTTTTGCCGGTGTTAGAGGCAGTCGTATCACAACAAAGCGCTTTAATACTAGAAGAAATATTCCATTCTTGTAGTAAATCAAACACAGCATTGGCCATTTGTTGCCCTGTTCCTGAAGGCAAATTTGGAACTCCGAGTAATTGCTCGACGCCATTAAATGATAATACTACGGGCAACCGATCATTTAGCGTGAAATTCCCACAGGGCAATAGTTTTCCATCCCAGTGTACAACTATAGCCTTGCAGTTTGTATAAAATCACTTTTTAGATTTTCCGCCAATGTCTTTCTGGTGCTTTCTCGTCGTCTTTTAATTGACGAACGATTAATAATTAAATTTGAAACATCATGGCCAAGTGCTTCTGCTACTGCAATTAGTAAATGAACAGCATTTCTATCGCTGATTTTGCAACGATCGAGTGCAGAAACAATCCTGTTGTTAATAAAGTCAACTCGAGCCTTTTTATTTTTTGGGTTCGTTGATTGAACGACTTGCATACTAGAAGTAGATGGCAATGGATGATCTAAAACGGAATCTGAATCATCTGAGGACTCTGAAGACGCTAAAACCATTGATTCATCTAAAAAAATAATATTAAACCATACTTATGCCGGACATAATCACACAAGATTTAAATTTTAAATAAATTAATTGGTAATATTTACCTTGAAAAGATATTTCGTTTTCTAAATGATTTGAGTATTCAGCTTGCAAACGGTCAGTTTTTCTTTTTTCTTTATTTGATAAATTTAGATCTACACCTGCCATAATACCTTGTCTACCTTTTCTCTTTGCGCGTTTAAAAAATCTTTATCTTCTTGAATTTCTAAAAATATTAAAGATTACATACCGGATGATATAGAAATTAAATACATCTTACTTATTAAGCTTAAGGCGTCTGCATGAGCAATATCGAACAAATCGTCCAGTGTTTCAGAAAATTTGTTTTCTTTAGTTTTTTGCCACTCTGCTCTATTGCAAGCGTTCTTCTGTATCTTACGCCAATCATTATAAACTTTTTCAAGTTTGGTAACACAGTGATCAACTCTCCTTGTAGGTATTCGTGCTTTATCCCAGAATAATTTTGCTTCCGTAATTGCCAATGAAGCGCCCTCATGGACACTTAGTTCAACAACTCGCATATTATAAAAAAAAAATTGCAGTACTTGACGAATTGACGGTAATTTTGACCCCGTAATTTGGCTACTTTCTACGCCTAACAAATATATCGACTTACGAACTTTGCTCATTTTTTAAATAGCTACACGACGCAATAGGGGTATTCGCTTTTAAAAGCTGGCCAAAAGTAAATTTTGTAGAATAAGTCGCATAATACAATTTTTATTTACATTGGATAGCTAAATGAATGGAAAACAATGTTTTAAAGTTTTTTGCACTCCTGCACTACCAGGAAGCCCCGCCTGCTTAGGGAAATTCGGGTTCCTCGAAGTGAAATTTATTAATTTCAAGAATTCTTCGAAATAACAATTTTTTGGACTTGTTTAATAATGTTTTTACTATATACTTACTTTTATCTATGGTAAACTAAATTTTATTATAAAAAAACGCTTAAAATAAATATGAAATAATATTAAATTTTTACGTTAAAATATAAAATTTTTGGAGTTTTTGGAATACTTCCGGGTGCGTCCCGGTTTTTATTAAATTATTAATTTACAGAGGATTTAACTAAATATCAGTAAAAGAATTGGTTCCGGATTTGTCCGGATTACCGTGTTAAGCTGTTTTTAAGATAGGCACGTACAATGTGAAACACTACGGTTAAGGGAGGTATTCCTCCCTTAACCGTAGTGCTTATTCTTATCTTAAAAACTCCTGAAATTACAACATTTATAGGGAACAAAAAATCATGAAATAATACCTATAATTTTTTTAAATATTATATTTTCACTTATACAGGGTATTCGGGTTTTTAAATGGCATAAGATGCTATAATATAGTATGTTATACGATTTTAAACAGTTATAACTCGAAAAATTATTTTGGCCAACTTTTTAGTACTAATACTGCGGGAATTCACTGCGTACACTCTTAGAAAAGACCTGGTATTTGCAATGAAAATTTAGTTCCCAGAACCAATTTTATTAGTGAAAATAGGCACAACAAAAAAATATGTTGTGGGAACTAATACAAATTTGTTTTTACAGTTTGTTGTCGGAACAGCCAATATTGGTAGCTCCAACCAACAAGTTTAAGTGCATCGAAATTAGTTTTTTTTTCATACAAATAATTGATATTTAATGCAATCACATTAGTCTGTCATTTTAGCAGCGTCTAAGTTGTAACAACTGCACTTGCTATTTATCGCAACAAACATTGTATCATGCAGGAATTTATTTTTTAATTGAAATTACATGAAAAAAGGTACATTTAAAGAATTTAATAGTTGATATAATATAAATTTGTTTTGTATTGTAACTAAGTTATATTTAATATTAAATGCTTGCATTAGTAGCAACAACAAATTGGTATTATTCCACAGTACATACCTGCTTAGTAAATATAACACTTTTTGTGTAAATATTATAAAAAATAGAGAAAGGAAATTCATGCCCGTTCGTTTTATAAATATTTATTATAAATTAAAAAATAACAATATAACTGAAAACACCAAATTTTGGTTTAAACATTATAACAAAAATTAATAATTACTATAAGAAAACATTTATAAATATTTTAACAATAAAACAAAAACGATTCTTTGGTAAATATACAGATAGGTACATTAAGATGAAAGTTGACTATACTTCTTCAATAAACCGTGATGTTTACGTGAAGTGCAAGCCTTTGTTTAACAACTTAACAATGATTCTTAGGTACAACGTAACATACTTGCATGATAACAGGGGTAAGAATTCGAAATTCCGACGTGATGGAGACTTTTGGTGGGCACCATTGGATTCAGGAGGCCATTTTCAGTCGGTATGGCATTTT